GAGCTCGAAAGCCTCATGGGCCACCTTGCTGACTTGCCAGCGCCGCGCCACGATGGCGCCCGCGGCGCAGATGCGCTCGCTTGCGTCACCCTCGAGGCCAAACCGCTTGAACGCGTCGAAGTAGTCCTTGGCCTTCTCGGGCATGATTGCTACCGACTCGAACTGCCCCTTGCCCTTCTCGGCGCTGGCCCTCGGCAAGACAGGCCTGGATTGCTTGTTCACTGGAAGATCACCTCGCACCGCGCTTGTAGATCTTGGAAGGGGGCCTCGCCGAGGACCTGCTTGACAACCGTGGTCGCGGCCCCCTCGGGCATCACGTCGGCCTCGTCGCCGAGGAGCGCGTCGCGCGTTTTGGTATCGTCGAGCAACCCCGCTCGGAAGCTCGACAACATCCTGAACAACTTCTCGACGTTCGTGTCTTGGTCGTCGACGCCGTCGAACATCTCGGCGCCCCCCTCGATGCGCGTCTTGTAAAAGATCGCACAGAGCAGCTCGCCGCGCCGCTTGCCCCCGCCGTGGAAGACGCCGCCGTACTGGATGCCCTCGAGGCCCCCCGTCTTGAGGGCGCTCGCGAGGACGGCGTTCTTGATGTTATTGTGCCGCAGCGCGGAGCCGCCTCGGCAGTAAAAGCTCGTCATCCTCGAAGCGTCGGTAGCCTCGCCGCTCGATTGGCACTGCCTCATCCCGGCGCAGCCTGCCTTCTCGGCGATGTACTCGAGCGTCTTGTTCTGCACCTCGATGGCCTCGTTCTGCTTCTCGAGCAGCTTGGACATATGCTCCAGAACCTTGTTGTTCTGCTCGGGCAGCTCGATGACTTGGCTGTCCTCGGCGAGCTGGGGGCTCGACGCCATGGGCGACGCCACGGCCCGGGAAGCTGAAGCTCGAAAGGTTCGAAAGCTCGAAAGGCTCGGAAGCTCGAAAGTTCGAGGCGCTCGAGCCAGAACGGTTGCGGGCGGGAGCAGGAGACTAGCTCGCTTCGCTGGATACATCCTCGAACACGCGCTCGTTTCGCTTGAAACATCCTCGAACAAATCTCTCGTTTCGCTTGAGACATCCTCGTCAAATCTTTCATTTCGCTGGAGACATCCTCGAGCAATTGCTTGTTTCGCTTGGGACATCATCGAACAAATCTCTCGTGTCGCTTGAGACTTCCTCGACAACACTCCCCTTTCGCGTGAGAAATCCTCGAGTGTATGCTTGTGCCGCTTGACACATCCTTGAGAAACGTACTGTTTCGCTTGAGACGTCCTTCAGTGTATGCTTGTTTCGCTTGAGACATCCTCGAATGTATGCTTGTTTCGCTTGAGGCATCCTCGGCAACGTGCTCGTTTCGCTGGATACATCATCGAAAACGTGCTCGTCTCGCTGGAAACATCCTCGAACAAATCTCTCGTTTCGTTTGAAAAATCCTCGACATCTCTCTCATGTCGCTTGAGACATCCTCGAGTATATGTTTGTTTCGCTTGAAACATCCTCGACAAGTTTTCGCTTCGCTTGAGACATCCTCAAATAATCGCTGGTTCCGCTTGAGACATCCTTGAAATATTGATCGTTTGGTTTTAGGCTGCCTCCCAAAATTATTGGCGTCGCTTGAAACATCCTGAAAAAAACGTGTTCGTTTCGCTTGATGTTGTTATCTCAACATAAGAAGGAAGTAACCTCGATGGCGAACTTTCCCCGTGATAATGAAGTTCGGCCTCCGCGCCCCCCGCCTCTATTTGAAACCCGTGTAGGCCGACGATTTTATTATTATTATTATTATTTTTGAAAACAAAAAAAACGACTTAAAGGGGGGGTACTTTATTATCCTGGGTTCTCGGCTACGCGCGCGCAATCGCCCCTGACTTCTCCAGATGCACGAACGGAAAACTCGACAACTTACCGGGTGGCAGCCCTCTCAGGGGAGAAAAGCATTCTCCAACATTGCCAGAAGAGGCCCCCACTATGGCCCGAAGATGCCTCAAAATGACACCAAAATGGCCCAATGTGTTATAGATGGCCGCGAGGCGTATCCTAAGAGGCACAAAGGTAGCACCAAAATGGCTCCACGGTGTTCCCAGGATATATGTTCGTCGTCCCGGCCGCAGAAGAGCCTTATGGGGCCATGAGATCCCCAAGAAGGCCGATAAGACCCAAGACAACCCCGCGAAGGGCCCAAGGGGGCTCAAAGAGGCGTCCAGCAGAGCCAGCTAGCCCTCACAGGGCGCAGTGAGAGCCCCGAGAGCCCAGACAAGGTCCCAAGAGATCTCCGAGAAGGCGCAAAGAAGGCGCCAAAATGGACCCTAGATGCCTCAGAATGGCCGGAGATGGTTCCGTGTTACTCCCAAGATGGGCCGGTAGTGTCCAAGATGGTCCAAGATGGCTTCTGGGCTTACCCCACCGGATTCCACCATCGCACCACGAGACCCCCAAGGAAGTCACCGAGAAGCACAAACCACTCCACAACGAGCAGATGTTTGATGGTTTTGCACTATTGTCTTCTCGGACGCGGGCGGGCATTCGAAACAACAGGATGGCAACGATACGACCCACAAGCGGCATGCGAGGGGAGTCCAAGATCAGAGTCTCAGAGAGCCCAAGAAACATCAGGTGTCAACAAGAGGGGACGGGAATGACACAAGGAAAAGGGAGCCAAGCGCCCCAAAGGACAACCAGGCGGCTGTAGGAACAAACAACTGAATCAGCATGAACTGTGATCCGCGGGAGGTCCCCACGGACTTCTTGCGTGGGCGCCAGAGCCCTCTGGCGGCGCCTCGGGCGCCGACCCTGGGGCGCTCCGCGCGACAGGGAGGGGGGTCCAGCGCCGATCCAAGAAATCCGCTTGACCTCCGAAAGAGTATGCTTCTGCCGTTGGGTGCTCTTAGCAAGGCGCCGAGTGGGCCCACGAGGGCCCAAAGAGAGCTGTGAAGGACCCAGGCCCTGAGAGAGCCCAAAGACAGACCCAAGAGGCCCCAGAGCACCGAATACGGCCGTGTGGCTCCAAGAGGGCTCCAACATGGGCCTAAGAGCTCCCAGAAGTAGGAGAACCAGACTCAGCCCAACCCACATCACTGATACTGGAGCACACGCACCTCGCCTCCCCCCATCGTACGAAAATCGCGTGGCCATGTTCACTACGCCTACCCCCGCTGCAATGGCGACAGTCCCACCGACGATGGCCCTGCCAAAAGGCTCGGGCCCTGAGAAGGCTGGCATGGTCAAACCATAGCGGCCCTGCCACAGAGAGCTGTCCAAGGCGGGCTAGACTGGGAAGAAATCAAACAGTTGCCACTGCGAACTGATAGCTATCCATCTTGTCCGATTGATCTGGCCGAACGAATGCTGCATAGCACCCACGTGCCCGAAGACCATCACGCTACAAGAGATCTTACAGACAAGAGATGTTACACGCTACAGCCGGCTGGGCTTGGGGAGAGACAGCGACATCTTGTACGAACTACGGCATGCGACAGCCGTCTGGTGCCTAGGATACAAAAATGCTGCGCGCTACGGCCACGTGGCCCCCCGAGGCAAACAGCCACAACACGCTGTGGGCTTCTCGGGCCGTGGGGAGCGAACTGCCAAATGTCACGGCCACATCCCTGAAAATGGCGGCAGACGACGCGTAGAACAAGGATGCACGACAAGGACGCGAGGGCCTTGGAAGGCCATGTCGACACTTGTCGAGCGGGACGCGGCCAGCGAAAAAGGGCACACGATGGCCGCCATGGGGAAACCAAAAGGTACCAATACCGCTACTCCCCGGACATCTCCCGGGGTGCGTTCTGACCAGGATTTCGAATCGAATCCAGAGGTGGCGACGGGGGCCTCCCAGGAGGCCCAAAAGGGGGGAAACAAAGAGAAGGGTAGCGATATGGGTACCCTTTCCCCCTCCGAAAGAATGGGCCGAAAGGGACAGATGCGAGGGTCAACTTGGAAAGCCGCTCACCCCTACTGTCCGTGCTGACCGCATCGCACGCTGCGGCCTCCCGGCGCGTCCCTGGGGGACACAGAAGCAGAATCGACCTAAACAATGTTTTTCGTGCCCGTTTTGTCTTCGTTGTCCAGTGTTTTGTCTTCAGTCCGCCTCTGCTGCAACGCGTCATCGACATGAAAATGGCACACGAAATCGCCAAAACACTGTTTATTGTCGCCCCGTGCACCGAAGCTCCACCCTCTGCCCGGGACGCTTTGTTTACTCGCGGCGGCGTTCTAGGGCAGACGTGGGGCGCACGTGGCCGAATTTCGGGCGCGGTGGGTTGCAGAGGGGGGGAGGAATGACGAATCCAGGGAAAGGATAAATTCGGGTGAGGATAAAAACATCTCTGAAATCCATCGGCCGATACAAACAGAACATCCAAGTATACCCTCCCCAGGATGCAGAAGATCATCCGACAAACACGAAGAACACAAACACCCTCCCCGAACCGACGTAGATCTTATACTTCGGTCGGACTGTAAGACGAAGCCAAGACGAGGAGAAAATCGGGCGAGGATAAATTGAGAATCGCTGGGATCCAGCGGTTCTGGAGGATGTCTCGGACGCCGCGGCCTTCTCAGGGCGTTCAAGAGCGCTCTGAAAGCGTTCCGGAACGCTTTGGGACGGATCGATCCTCGTCCTTGACCCTGTCCGTCCTGGGACGCATTTTTACTCGCAGCGGCGACAATCCAAGCCTCGTTCAAAGGCAAACGTACGGTGCACGTGGCCGAATTGGGCACCATGGTCTTCGCATGAACAAAGGGTACTGAAGAAAAAGGGTCCTGGACCCTGGGGCCTTCCGTCGGGACGACTTCTTCATCCTGAACCGTTTACTGACGATCCGTGTTCCCCATGGCGACCCCAAAACTGAGAACATGACACCTTCCGCCTGCCCAAACTGAAGCATCCGCCAGGATGCACGAGAACATTCAACAAGCACGATGCACATGGGAAAAAGAACCAGACCGAATGCCCAGAACATGTGGTCCATCCGTGTGGGTGGCGGGGTCCTTGCACGGCGAGGCCTCTGCCCGGAAGCCGGGGACGCCCGGGAACGGCCCCATCGCTGTCTCGGCCCCGCCGACGCCCCGCCTTAACCGGCCTCGCGCCCGCCCCCCCCCCATCCTTCGGCGGCAGTTCGCGGCAGCTTCCTATACCGTCTCGCGCTTGCGAATCGACGCAAGTCGACGCCAATCGACGTTAAGAAGAAGCTGTTCGACGCTAGTCGACGCTGATCGACGCTACCTCGACGCTGCCTCCCTCGCCGATTTCCAGACGCTGATCAAGACGACTGCACCTACAAAACGGAACTACAAGGGCTTGGAGCCTCGTTTAACCGACACCTATCCCCATGGACGTGGCCTGGGCCCCGCTGGCCGACGTACTCCCCTGGATGGTAATATATCGTGTCTCCTTCGTCAACTGGAGTCATGGTTGGGCTCGGGATGGAGATGAGGATGGGGATAGGGATCGGTTAAACGATACTGAGATTTAGAAGGCTTACACGAGAGAACGACGAGGAAAAACAAGAGGCGATTAACAATTACAGTATGCTCACTCCTTTGGGAGGGGACCTCACTGAGGAGGGCCAGAAACACCAGGGATACGGGGTCTGTCTTGCAGGTGTCTGAGACGAAACGCCCCACATGTCGAGGGCGAATCCTAAAAATTAGAAGCCGAAATTCGGCCACGAATCCACTGTGCTCTCAGGGTTAAACGTTCTATTATGATTACCCGCCGGCCGGAAGAAGTGGGAATAACAATGAAGCAAGGAAGCGTGGGAAGTGGATCGGGCTTCCGCCCGGCCCCCGAAGAGAAGGGAAGAGGGACAACCATTCGACTCTTGAGGAAGGCGGCTCAACTAGGCTGGGATCAGGGATTCCAAAAATCCGCCACCGCGCCGCTGGGCACGGAGTGGGCGTGTTTAACGGGCCCGGACCCCTCGCTTTCGAATCTCCTGCGGGTTCCCGCGCGCCCCCTGGGTATTCCCGCGCGCCCAATGGGCTTTGCCAACTGATGGCGCGTGAATTTTTGCCCGGGCCCGAAACGGCCCCAAAACGGACCAAAAGGACCCCAAGACGGGCAGCAAACAAGCAAAAGGTTCGATCGGACGACCGAAAACGCCATGCCTCCCTAGTGGGAACGGCGGAAGTATGAAACTGGCCTGTCATGACGAACAGCGCCGGCGGCGAAGGTGAAACATCTGACGCAGCACGACCAGGCGCGCTCGGGGGGGGAAGGGAAGGGAGGAGGGAAGGGGGGGAGCGAGGGCAAGGGCGACGGAAATCGATTGTTCACGTTCTCGACGCACTTGCTTTCCAGAATACACCAGTTCCAACGACCGTTCCCCGCGCGCGTTTCGGTTTCGCGCGCTAACTTTTCGCGAGATGATCCAGGATGCTCGTCGACGGTCCTCGCCGAGGAACAAATGCATACATCCGAGCGGCTCGGGGAACTACTGGCCCGGGTCAACGAAAACCCGGGTCAGTCAGGCCACGCAGGACCCTGCAAGATCCTTGCAGGCCCCTGCAGGACCATTCACCCAAACCCGCGCCAATGCACCCCTGGCTCTGCAGGATGCTGCACGATCCGGCGCTCCGACTGACCCCCGCTTGCATGGGCCCCCGTCTCTGGAGCCCCGATGTCCCAAATCCCTTCTGAGCAGCAGGAGGAGGTTGTTGGGGGCGGGCCCAAAGCCAGGGATCCAGGGTCAAACAAAATCGGACGCGTCCGAGTCCGTCTCCTCGGCGAAGGGCGCCCTGGGACGGGTCTGGGCCTGGCCAAGGTCGCGAGTCCAGGCAAGGTCGTCTTCGCCGAGCGAACAAGGTTCCCAAACCTGCTCCCTGTAAGCAAGCCCGTCCTGGAAGCCCAATTGGGCAGGCTGGCTGTCCCCGATGCCCCTCGGGCCCCCGCCCGCAACGCTTCGAGCAGCGCCCCGCGCTCAACGAGAGAGGGGGGGGCCTTCGCGAGGCCCGAGGTCCAGCACTTTTCAGCTACTGCTTATTAAAAGGAAACTTCGACTGTCGAAGTCCCCCCAACTGGTCACTGAATTCCACTGTCCCAGACTGGGGCTGGCAGGGGCCTCGTAAACCTCCAGAGGGGGTGCCTCCTGACAGGAGCTGCTGCACTTGACGCAAAACTGGATCCTGCCCTTTGCGCCCCCATCGGGCGCCCAGCACTCTGGCCCCCAGGAAATCACGGCCGCGGAACCTAAAAACGAAAAAGCGACACGAATCCCACTCCCCCAGGTCCTCGCCCGCCTGCCTGGGGCGTCCGTCCTCGGCCATCGGCTGGCCCGGGAAGTCGCCGTCGGGCTCCGTGCCCAGCACGGGAGTGGCGGAGGGGGCAGGGGACGGGAAGTGGGCATGGCCAGCTGCGTCTCGGCCTGGCATGGCAGAGATGGCGACGTCAAGCTGAGCCGCCCACCTCCCTGCTTCCATGGCCAGGCTCCGCAACCCACGCCACAAACTTGTATCATCCTCCATCCGCCCATGCAGGTCTACTCCTGCCTTGGCGAACGTGCCAGAATGCTGGCTCGCACGCTGCCCCCGCGCTGTAACGACATCTGCCTGTACATCTGCGGCCGTGCTGAAGGCGCTCCAGAAGGGCCCCCAAAGATGTCCCCAGGGAACCCCTGGGCCCACCGAGTACCCAGGCACCTTGGCCAAGGAATCCAGGGCAGACGGGCGATTATGTCAATTATGTACAGCTGGAAAGAGGAAAATAGCAGCTGCGTTAACATATAAACAACATGTTAGTCCCCGTTTCCACTGGTCTGCTGTGGAGCGGCCCTCACGGGTACAGCTTCATATACCGCCGATATGAGATTCCTAAATCCATATGCAAATAGATCAGCATGCACGGGACATGCCTTCCAAGTTACCCCACCCCGCGGAGCCGTCAAGGAAGAAGAGACCTGAGAGCACACCTGAATCGGGACGGTTATGCCACTTAATGATATCCTGAACCTCGGGGGCCTCGAACAAACCTTGCGGGTCGGGACAGATACAGCTGGCAAATATTTCACTGAGGATGGGAATGTCACCCGCTCGGCACACCGCTTCAGCCTGGGTCCTGCGCAATCTCTGCGAAGACCTTCGTGCGCTGGTCAAGCGTACTGGCGATGCCAAAGAGTGCCAGGCGTTTCCCGACACAGCTGGCAGATATGTTCTGGATGGGATGAAGCCCGTGGCTGCGCAACCTAGCTAGGGCCCACTGAACTCCAGACACCAGTCCTCGGAGGCACCTCTGATGATGTGTAGTCCGTGTCGAGCTCTTGTTTTTCGCTAGCTTCCTAATAGCGCTCCAGGAAGATCGAGTCCTCGGGAGGCCCTGCAAGGCCATTCTGAGTACGAAGAGCGTGTGAAGCAGGAGGAGGAGCAGGAGGAGGAAGAGGATATCCCCTCCTCCTCCTCCTCCTCCTCCTCCTCCTCCTCCTCCTCCTCCTCCTCCTCCTGCTCCCTCCTCCGCCCCGAGCGATGCCAAACACATCGACCGGCGTGCACGGACCGGGGGCGCAGCCGGCCAGCCGGCGGGGGGGGGGCGAAGAAAACACCCTCGGGCCGCTCTCCTGGGCGGTGCTGGCCGGCGCAGGCGCCTCCGCCGCCTCCTCGCCCGCGCGGGGGGTGCGCGGCGGGAACTTGGGCATCTACTTCAAGGTGGCCTTCCGACGGCACCATACGGCCCAAGAGGCCCCCAACATTGCCTCAAGGTCGTCCAAGAGGTCTCCCAGATGGCCCCAGGACGGCCCAAGAGGCTCCCAAGAGGGTCCCCAAAGAGGCCCCCGACACGGCCCAAGAGGCCTCCCGGACGCCCAAGAGGTATATCCATACCGCATAGACCACCCTTCGGGTGATAAGGAGGTGAGGGGGGGGGAGGGACCAACGTCGCACTCGATTGATCTCACTATCGAACTCACTACCGATCTCACAATCGATCTCAATCGATAGATCTCACAATCGATCTGACTATCGATCTCACAATAAATCTCACCATCGATCTCACAATCGATCTCACATTTGGTCTCGCTATTGACCTCACAATCGATATCACAATCGATCTCGCATTCGATCTGACTATCGATCTCACTATCAGACTCACTATCGATCTCATTATCGATCTCACATTCGGTCTCACTATCGATCTCACTATCGATATCACAATCGATCTCACAATCGATCTCGCATTCGGCCTCACTATCGATCTCTCTATCGAACTCACTTTCGATCTCATTATCGATCTCACTATCGATCTCACTATCGATATCATAACCGAACTCACAATCGATCTCACATTCGGTCTCATCATCGATCAAAGTATCGAAATCACTACCGATCTCATTACCGATAGTGATCTCACTACTAACTCAATCGATCGATCTCACAATCGATCTGACTATCGATCTCACAATAGATTCCACAATCGATCTCACATTCGGTATCACTATCGATCTCACTATCGATATCACAATCGATCTCACAATCGATATCCCATTCGGTCTCACAACCGATCTCACTATCGATCTCATTATCGATCTCACATTCGGTATCACAGTCGATCTCACAATCGATCTCACAAGCGATCTGACATTCGATCTCACAATCGATGTCACAATCGATATCACTATCGATCTCACTATCGATCATCAAAACAAAACATCAACATCGTCATCATCATCACCATCATCATCATCAATATCATCACCATAATCGGGACACCGACGGGGCACCGGCGGGACACCGCGGGCCCCCGGCCGCCCGGAAGGGAATCATTTGGTCCGGCCGCGCCTCAGCCACACGGGGACACCAGCGGGACACCGGCGGGACACCGCGGGGCCCCGGCCGCCCGGAAGGGAATCATTTAGTCCGGCCGCGCCTCAGCCACACGGGACACCAGCGGGACACCTGCGGGAACACCGCGGGGCCCCGGCCGCCCGGAAGGGAATCATTTGGTCCGGCCGCGCCTCAGCCACAGGAGACTTTCCTCTCGCCCGCCCACGCAGCTTCGCCTCGCCCGCACGCACGGCACGCACGAACACGAAACCGAAATCGATTTCCCGGTAAGGGGGCTCTCCGTTCCACTTCGATCTCACCCCCTCACCTCCGATCCACCGCCTGGGAACCGACGTCCTGGTGCCCCAGCGGGCGGCGGATATGGATACATGTCGGCCCCCGGGGGGACGAGTGGATACATGTCGGCCCCCGGGGGGACGAGTACATCCATATCCACCACCAGTGGGGGTCCGCGAAGATCGAATCCCCAGGCTGTGGATATGGATCAATCCCCGCCGCCGAGGGAGAGGGGGGGGGGACGCGCCGTCGCTCGGACGTCCCTTCGTCGTGCCTCGTTTTGAGCCGTGCGCGTGTTTTGCTAAGAGGATCCACGATCGGAAAAAGAAAATCTGCATGAACATGAACTTTTGGCGCTCCGCGCGGATGTCTTGGCTCTGCGCTGGACCGGAGCGCGCCAGGGGCGGTGCCGGAAGCGCCGCTGGGGGGGGGCCCATGCGCGGATCCAAGAAATCCGCGCGGATCGCCAAAGTCTATGTCTCCGTGTTTCTTAGCGATTTGTTCCCGAGATGATCCAGGACGCTCCTCGATGGCACTCGCCGCCAGGAGAAGCACACGTCCGAGCGATGCCATGGGGAGGGGGAGGGCGAAGGGCTCCGGCCAGGACGGGTCTCCCGGCTCGCCGAAGCGGGCGGCCGCGCGAGTGGGGCGTCAGTCCATCAGGGCGGGTGTGCGATGGCAGGGCTCGAGGTGAGCAGTGTTTTTCGTTATCGCTTCGTGCTCGTCTTCCTTCGTTCTTGAAGGGGCCCTGGGACACACAAATAAATACACACAAATCCGCCGGCCCCCTTGTGGGGCCACCAGGCTGTAGGCCCGTGATTCGCAGTTTCCTGTACCAGTCGTAGGTTGTAGTTTCCAGTGTTACAGTTCTGCTTCTCGCTGGTTACTGTAACTAGTTGATTGACCGCGCGAGGGGAGGGGAGGCCCAAGCAAGATTTTTAGCGTCTCCTGGGCGCGTTGTCTGAATTGCTGGGGGGGCTCGAAATCGACACCCCTCACGCAGATCCGCGGGGTCAGGGTCCAAGAACACAGGGGATTTGCCACATTTCTGAAATTCGGTGCCACCCCTTACGCAGATCCGCGGGGTCAGGGTCCAAAAACACAAGGGATTTGCCACATTTCTAAAATTCGGCGCCACCCCTCACGCAGATCCGCGGGGTCAGGGTCCAAAAACACAAGGGATTTGCCACATTTCTGAAATTCGGTGCCACCCCTCACGCAGATCCGCGGGGTCAGGGTCCAAAAACACAGGGTTTTGCCACTTTCTAAATTCGGTGCCACCCCACACGCAGATTCCGCGGGTCCACAAAAACACATGGGATTTGCCACATTTCTGAAATTCGGTGCCACCCCCACTTGTGCAGATCCGCGGGGTCAGGTTCCAAAAACACAAGGGATGTGCCACATTTCTGAAATTCGGTGCCACCCCTCACGCAGATCCGCGGGGTCAGGTTCCAAAAAAACACAGGGGTTTTGCTACATTTCTAAATTCGGTGCCACCCTTCACGCACATCCATCGCAAGGCGTGGTAACCCAAACTGCGAGAACTCCCTCGGCCCTTTAATCGCAAGGTGTGGTAACCAAGCCCGTAAACCATACACGTCTTACCAATCGCCAGGTGTGGTAACCCCTCTTGTGATCAGTTGGTTTTGCTGATTGCGAATCGGCTTCGCATGAAGTTTCGATACTGCTTCACGACAGCGCCAAGGCCTCATGACTTAGCTCTTCCATGGCCCATTCTCCGAGAGAGGGGGCCGGCGGCAGGGGGCGAAGCCCTTACGGATAAAAGGATTCCCTACGTTTTCCCATATTTTCTGGGTCTCTGTCGTCCCCCCACTGCCAATATGTTCCTATATTTTCTGGGGAATCGACGATTGATTGTGTCTGTGTTTTTTCTCCTCCTGAGTTCTGTCTTCGTTCTGCCCTTTTTGCTGCGAAACGAGATCACAACTAAAACGGCCCACGAAATCGCCAAAACACCATTTACCTCTAGCCCTGGGCGATAAATGGGGGGGCAGGAGCGTGCACCTTCCGTTTCCTTTTTGGGCCCGAGGGGGCCCCTTCAGGGCCCCTTGAGGGGTGCACGTTCCCTCACCCCCACATTCATCGCCCCCCCATTACTCGACGCCCGAGCGAGGGGTTGGGATGTGGCGCTGGGGCGCCGCTCATGATGTTCTCGTGGATGCTCGCATGACCTGGCCCGCAACCTTGTGAAGCTCATCCGATTGAGCCAAAGTTCGGAAGGCTCCGAAGGCCTCCCGCCTGAAGACTTCTCCGAAGGCAGAGAAAACTTCTGAGAAGGCCAGAGGGCTTCTGAGAAGCCCCACCGCCTTCTGAGAAGGCCTGCCCCTCCTCACTTCCCCTCCCCCGATCGCGCCGCCGTTCAGCAATTTCTTCCGTGTGCGTTCTGCATTCGCTTTGGGGGGGCAAGAAGCAAGAAGGTAACAATGCCGCTACTCCCTGGACCTCTCCCG